GCGGATTGTCGTCGGTTTAGAAATTACGTCTCGAAATAAAGAAATGGTCTACATATCGTATAATTATGATATTTATCTACGTATTAGAATGTTGAACACCCCACACACCGATGAAAGACTGATTCTCGTATTGTTTTCCCCTGTCGCAATTTCACTTTCGAATTCTATCGTAGACATAATATTCAATATAGGTAATATTAAGTACAATACACAATAATAATACCTATGTCGTTGGGGCGGAAGTTTACTAGGTGTTAAAAAGGTATTGCTCCGGACGATCAGAATAGTGGTTTGTCGAACATTTCAAGATAATATAAGAACCGATATCGAGTGATATGAAAATGTACGAGACGCACACCACCGTGTTCACTGGGTACGCAAAACGACCGAACGCGCGTCAAAAATGGCGTCTAGTCGGGGACGGGGCTACAATAATATATAAAAAAAAAAATCTAATACATTCCCGCAGTGCACGTACATGTACCAAAGTTAGAGGGCATAATTTGAAAACGGATAATAAAACAAACAAACAAACAAACAAAATACAAAATTAAGACTACTATATAATATATAGTATAGGTATGCAATGCAATACTATATATTATGCAACTGGGACGAAATATATAATAATAATAATAGTAATAGTAAAATTATAATATTTTTGCCTAATATTATTATATTATATTAAAAATATATAATAATAATATTATGATATTAACGTCGCGGTCGCTGCGGCGGCGACGGCGTTGGTCTCTTAACTGCATCCGCACCTGTCCACCACCATTCCGGGCAACAAGCCGTAAATGATGTTCAAGTCCTGGTCGAAGTACAACATGGATATGGCGGACATCTTGCGGGGAGCGCAGCACGGACCGGTGCCCGGGTACGTGCCCGACTTGTTGGTGAGCTGGGCGAGGTGGGTGTGCGGGTGCTTCTGCAGGAACACCATCGGACACTCACCCGAACAGTAGTTGGCCTCGTACTTTTTGGGCGCAATGATCCAGTCCCAGCCGAAGTCCTCGAAGTCCACCGTCAGAGGGAACCGGCAGCACAGCTGCTCCTTCGAGGATTCGTCGCAGTCCTTGCCAAGCACGTTGCGTTTGGCCCGCGACCGACGTCCGTCTTCCGTGTGCACCTCCAGGTACGGGATCTGCGCAAAAACCCACACGGATCAGTGACGACGTCGACGGATGTGAAGGAATTTCGGGTGGACAATGGGTGGGCCGGGGTGGTTGGGTTTAATTTCGGACAGCGCCGTGATCATAAGGGAGCGATTCGGTATCGTTTTTTTTCTCTGTTTTCGCGGAATGTATGCGAGGGTAGGTGGTAACTATGATGACGTCCTGCCTACAATATGTACTGAGTGATTCATTTGACAGAAAAAACTCTTCGTTTTTTCGAAAAGTTTTGAGAAAATATTTATTTTTTTAAGTACATAATATTTAATGCGCCGGAGTAGGTAATTAAAAATGTAGACTAGCATTGAAAAAAGTTAAAAAAAAACGAAAATTATAACGATTAGATAAATATAATAAGTACTAAAAAGTATATTTTTTCTTTCAAAAATTATATTTCGTATAGTGACCACAAATTATGCAAAAAAAATAATTTTTAAAAACGTTAACTATATAGTAGTTATAATATTAAGACTTATAGGTAGTTACAACTTTTCGGTATAACTAGGAATTATTGTTAAAAGGATCACCGCATGAGCATACTCTCCAACGCCACACGTGCAACGTTTATATTATATTACAGTAATAATATGTTATAAGTTTTAACTTGTAATAATAATATTATACTTTATATTCATACGCCGCCCGGCGGTAATGCGTAACATTTACCACCTAATATATAATATAGTTATTATTGTTATTTATTATCATATTATTATTACTATTTTTCTCATTGTTATAGCGTCGGTAAATGATATAATATTTACTACAGGTACGATTCGGTCGGACTTCAGGGCGATACCTCTTCAGACTTCAACCCGACCGCGTTGTAGCAGTCGTAAGATAAGTCATAATATTCGAGACAATAAGTACAATATTATATCGGTACGGCTACTCACTGCAATAGTGCAATTATATCATTACCATAGGTATACCATGCATAATATCAAGTTTAATATGTTTTCTATAATAATACCTATACACGTTAAATTATAATATATAACTATATAAGGCTACGTTGAGCTATATAGATAATATATGTATATATTATTATTATTATTATTATTCGTACGTATTGGCACGACACAATCGAATCGCCGGCTATGAGACGACCGAGCAGCAGCAGCATAGTAACAATAATAATAATAACAATAATGATGATAAAATAATATTATATTATCGATGTTTATTGTAATATTTTAGTCATGCGGCGGCCAAGAGGGAGCCCTGCCCCCCGGAACGTTATCGAGGCGACGGCGGCGGTGTATCATAATATACACGTGTATGATATTCGTATGGGTACTGGCGATTTCGATTTATTTTTTTCCTCACTCGTAATAATAATAAAAAAAAAAAAATAATAATAAAAGTAATAAAAAAAAATAAAAATGAAAAAAATACGCATCGGTCGGTTTTCGCATTGTACTGTCGACGCCGCAGCGACGTGCAATATAATATAAAAAATAGTGTACAAGACAATAAAGTAGGTACGACGACGTCCGAGACGTATTATAGACCGGTCGGGGGATACTTTCGGTTTGTTCGGTCTCGTCGGATTACTATCGTTGAGAGTTATCGCACGATTTTTACGGACCGTGCATGATAGTGTATATAGGTACAGTAAATGCCTCCGGTCCGGTCGCCGCATAAACGCCGTATACATATTATATACGATATATTATTATTATATATATATTATTTTTTTTTTTCCATCGGTATGTATATACATAACATATAAAACTGTATTATCGTTACTTCGCGTTATTATATATTATTATACATTAAGTAGGTACGTACCTATACTGGCTATACTATACAAACCGATTGAGTTTGCGTCCCAAATGCTACCAAATGGCAAGTTATTAATATTTATCGTTAAGAGGATAATATTATTATTGTCGGCGCACTGTATTTTGTTTTTTCTCTCTCGGGCCCGCGCGCAACATGGTAAATTTCCGTTCAGCAGAATCAATCTCGCGTTGGCATGGATTTAATGTTGTCAAAGTGAATCAAGTATTGAATTATTGAAAATTAGTTTAGGTACGTGTTTGTGCGTTGGCTCTTAAACGACGTATCGGTTTTTATGCGATGTATCATCATTTTTAAATAGTAATATATTTTGAATACAAATTGAAATACCGTAATAAAGCCAATACAATGTTTTTACCTTTACGTTAAAATCGCAACTTAGAAGAAAACCTAATTTACCAAAATTTTTAACCAGTTTTTAACCAATTTTTAACAAGTTTTTACCAGTTGTAAAAATATGCCAAAATATGAAATAATCAGTAATTTTTAGCAAATGGCCATAAAAACCTGGGTCACAATTAGTATAAATAAAATCTCGGATCGCAATTAGGAATATGTTTTTTTACCGCGGTACGCAACTAGTAGCAACTAATATTATAAGTAGGTCCGTTGTAATCGCCGAAAGTATTCGGTAGGGGTGTTGGAAATTGTAGCTACCTATATTATGATCGGTATGAATGGACGGAGATAATTTAAAATAGAGATATAATATAATATTAATAAGTGGGTATACTATATTCTTATAATCTTATATGATACGGATTAGTATTCAATCCTAGGACAAAAGTAATAACCGTTTAATATTTAGTTTATTCAATTCCAGTCGTAACATTTATAATTTGTTTTAGAAACTATTCCTACTCATATAATAAAAAAACATTTTACATTGTTATATATATATAATATTTTAATACATCGCTATCTGCTAATGTCTTGTCTTTAGTTTTTCGGTTTACACTTTAATCTATAAAATATTATACAAATAGTGTTTGATTTTATATTTTTCGACAAAAAAAGGTAGGCGCTTTGCATATTATGCAAGCCATTACACGCGGAAATCGTATACTAGATACTTAGCTCTCTATCATCCGTATGAAATTGCATATTTACCATATGCTAATATAAATATAATATATGTGAACGGAATGGTTGATTTTTTGGTCTATATATATTATATTATTATATATAATTAATTCACAAATATATTTCATAAATAATAACAATACAATTATAATTATGATACATATTATTATATCGTATATGGAATAATTGAGTTGTCTTATTGTTAATGATTATAACTATTATAAAATATTAGTTTACACGCGTCATTGGGCGACATGTGAAACGACAACGGCGGAGGAGGCGGTGACGCAAAAATAAAAAAGACTCCGTTTTAAAAAAAATAGTAAAATAATAAAACAGACAAAAAAAAGGTGTATTTACAAAGAAACGTGTTGCGAATAAATAATACAAAATAATATGTGTTATTTTTTATTATATCGTTATACAACATGAATATAATATAATAATTAGCGGACAACGAGGAATATTCATCGTATTATAAGCATAATAATATCGAAAAATTCGAACGTCATCGACAGCTCAGCACTATAAAATTAATAAAGGTTATGTTTTTCACTTAAATCGCATTTTAGCGGATTGAATTATTGACATCATAATATTTATATCTAGCACAATATCATCGTGTGGAGCGAAAATAATACGACATGTCAGTGTGTATGTGTGTGGTGTGTATGTATGCGTGCACAGGCACGTATCATGGGGGTCTATTGGGTAGATCCCCCCCCCCTTAAAATTGTTCAAGTTTACCCACCCAACGAATCGTGATCCTTGATGACAAAAATATACGTGCCTATTTGCGTACGAACGTGTGTGTGTGTGTGTGTGTGTGTGTGTGTGTGTGTGTGTGTGTGTGTGTGTGTGTGTGTGTGTGTGTGTGTGTGTGTGTGTGTGACGTCGGTGGTGGAAGGTATGTGCGACTGGCGTTGCCGCCGATTAGCTACAGCCACACCTCTCCACCACCATGCCGGGCAGCATGCCGTAGATGATGTTGAAGTCGGGGTCGTAGTACAACATGGATATGGCGGACATCTTGCGGGGCGCGCAGCACGGTCCCGTGCCAAACTTGGTCATCTGCACCAGGTGGGTGTGTGGGTACTTCGGGAACAGCATCGGGTCGCACACGCCAGAACAGTAGTTGGCCACGTACCGCTTGGGCGCGATGATCCAGTGCCAGCCAAACTCCTCGAAGTCGACCGTCAACGGGAACTTGCAGCACCGGGTCTCCGTGGACGTCTCGTTGCACGTCAGCCCGGATGCAGCGTTTCGCCTGGCCCGGGACCGCCGGTCCTCCCGGGTGTGCACCTCCAAGTACGGGATCTAACAATATTATACGGACCAATCGGATTAGAGTTGAGATGACGATGGGTACGCTTGTTTTGGGGTGTACAGTGTGAATGTGTGTTTGTTGGGTTGTGCACGCCAAGAGGAGGAAGTATATGGTATTATATAGGTGTTATATATTATATGGTGTTGCAGTTGTTGCAGGTGTTGGTGGTATAGGTGGCGGTGTAGGTGGGTGGCGGTGGTGGGTGGTGTGTTATTACAGCGGGTGTACCGACTGCACAACGACGGTGCATCAAAAGAAACCGTGAGCGACACGGTGGCGCACAATCGATGGTCGGTGGGCGGAGGCGGAGTGGCGGGAATGTGACGGTTGAACGGACGATAATGATTTTGTAATTTTCGAGAGAAAAATAACCATAAACGATGGGCCTAGAGAGACAGATAGTGAGAGAGTGAGTGAGCGAGAGAGAGGAGAGATTCTGACGTGTGTTACACTTCGACTAATGTATATAATCTTCCACGTTCGATTAACACACTGTTTTTTTTTTATATATTTATTTATAACTATAATTATTGTTACACATATTATATAGGAGGTACCTATACTATTAAATATTAATATTAAAATACGTGTTTACTATTATTATGTTATTAGGATACCCTTCTCGACGAGCATTTTCGATTTTCGATTTTTTTTCTTTCTTTAATCCACCGACAGACGGTCGCAAGAAAAAAAAATATGATATATATATATATCATATATGTGTGTGTGTGTGGTTATTTCGCACTGCCATCATGCCTGTGGCGCGTACAATGACGTGCGTATAATGTTACGTTATTTTTTCGCGATTCGTATAATATATAAATACCAGTCGACATTATTATACCATCAGGTGGGTTATGCACGCCGTAAGGTATATTATATTATGTTATGTAGTCGAGTGCAAAGTGTATCGAATTATTGCCCGGTCAACGGTTTTCTAAAGCGCGTTGCTCAACAAATCGTCGGCGATGTTACAATAACGTCCAAGTTCACCGGTATTATGTTAAAAAAAAGAAAAGTATACCGTTTTCTGTCCACGGGATAATCCCCTCTCTCCGACCTACGATGATGGTATACATGTACAACGAACCGCCGCGCAGTTCTCATATTATTATAATACCATACCACCGAAGTTATAATTTCATTATATTATGCGGTCATTATTAATTAATTCACGATTCTTTTCATATCGTTATGTGTCCGGCATATTATACAATAATTATACATTATAATCATATCATAATATACGTTTGGAACATAAAATAATGGGTATTCCATGATACGATAATATACAATGCATGGCTGGTGAGTATAATGGTAAATTAATTACAACGTACCTCGGTCATGTCTTCTCTTTTCCTGGCGTCTGTTACATAAGGCGTCCTGACGTGCGTGATGTTCTTGTTCGCGTAGTACGCGTGCACCACTAGTGTCAGGTTCTTGGCCCCGTCCGTGGTCTTGAACCAGTCGGACATGCGCCTATGTAGGTCAATGGGCACCCAGCCAGGTTCGGTGGAGTTGAGCACGCGCTGCAAACACGCCAAAAATGACAAATCAAAACGAAATAAAGACACGTGGAGTGTGGACGTTATGTGGCTATAATACAATATATTATTATACTCGCAACTGCGACGTCAAGTAATAATTAATTAAGCATAGGTAATGGTCATATTATATTATAACAGATATAGTTCATAGATTAAATTGTTATATTGTAAATCATATAATATTATGTATATTATTGATGGTCTGCGGAAATCGATTGCACAAACTTTAAACTCGATTAAATTAGTCTCATCGCATCTGGGCGGCTCACCTTTATGCTGGCCACAAACACTGGTGGAATATGCTGTTGCTGCATGCTGTTGCTGATGTTGTTGATCCTGTGAACTTCGATCATGACCACCGGGTCATCGATGACCACGTCCTGCCGTCTCTTGTACAGCCACAGGATCGCATCGGTGATCCGTTGCTGGCCCGTCTGCTCGGAGAACGTAAAGTAGAGCAGATAGCGGCCGTTCTTTAGTCTCTGCGTCATGGGATCTGTGCAGCACAAAAACCGACCCCCAACAAAAGGGTGGCGGTCGGTATTTTTTTATTATTATTATTATTACCATTACACCATTAATCGTGTTTATTATATTATTATGAGTGTTCTGTTTTTGTTGTTATTATCATTATTATTATTATTGTTACGATCGAAACGCCATCATTATAACCGCGTTAGGCAGCCTTCAAGGGACGAGCATATCATCAACCCCGGACCCAGCGGCAATTTCCCACGCACGCCAACGCACCATCACGTGCACCGACAGTTTATATATAACATCGCCCCTAAAATATTTTATCGAACTTTCACTCAGATATTTTCTGATCCCGTCAAGGTGCGATTAAGAAAAGAATAAAACCCTAATATAATAAGAAAAACATGTAATTCGCCTAATCATCGTCTACTGCAATATAATATAATAATATAATATATATTATATAAAAATTATATACAAATATTATTATTTACACCATGTACCTACATCTTATAATGGGTACATGTAATCTGTTCGACCTTAATTTTGTAATGTGGATGGTGGGCGAGACGACAATCAATAACCATCTAATGTGTACATTATATTATAAATAATGTCGATTATGTATATATAATATTATAACAACGAAGGCGTTTCAAAAGAGTGCATCATCGTCCTATGTAATGGTATGAATCATTATTACTTATGGTTATTATGAATATAGCATGATAGCATGATATGTGTATAAAATAGTCGAATCTTCGCGGTGTACCCTGCGTATGACTGCGCAACGTACGAAACGAACTTGATTCCGTATACGATAAATGAGGCGCACACATTCTATAGTGCCATGACAGCTTGACACAAGCAATTTTTTTTTATAAGAAAACATTATAGAATAATCTAATGTCTAAAAACCAAATTGGCCCAACCTTTTAAAAAAATGTTGCTTAGATGATTAATTTAAGTACCAGAGTCGTCGCCTAAATCGGAAATGGTGCGGATACCTAAGCTGATGCTAAACTATATAGTAAATGGACGGACGACGGTAATCTTCATACACACGAATCATTGTCGTATGAGCACAATTTCAATCTTCAACTGGGGGAGGGGGTAATTAAATCAACTATAAACCGAGTAAGCCCCATGGGCGGATTTTATCACTTATATATTATATAGGTACTTCCAAAGACATGTCCATATTGATTAATACAATCACGAAACACATTAAGTTTAATGATTAGGTAACTACTAACAGCTAAATACTACTATGATGCTCCTTTATGGGAAAAAAGGGTGGATGTTTTACAAAATATTTGAAAAATACAAGAGGTTATATCTTTTATATAATATTGAATTCGTAAAAATATATTTTATGTTAAAACAAAAATATTTTTCATAGGAATTCATAGTTATTCTTTAGAATTTATAACTGGAGTTTAGGATGGGCTAATTTTAAAATTGGAGTCTAAAATCTAGACTCATCTGATTCACCAATCTTTTCATCAAGGGCCGCATTAAAAAAAAAATTTACATATGATACCTATATATAATACTAATAATATTATTGCTATTATATTTGATTATTTTTTATAGAAATATGAGTGTAATAAAACAAAAATGTTACTGGAAAAAATTGCTTTTAAGAAAAAATGTAATTGAATAAAAAAACTCAAAGTAACTATGACTGAGTAGTGCAGCCATCATTATATCTTCGACTCCGATTAGATATTAATAACAATTTTATAGATTAAACTGACTATATAACTATATATAGAATAAACATCAACTATTAAAGATTAGATTAGATTTTATTTATAAAGAAAAAAGAATTGAAATATATTGAAAATTTTATGAAAAATTTTATTGAACAAAAATAAAACACAAAAATTAACGACCTTTGTGGGGGCCATCAAAAATTGGTTCGTGGGTTGCTGATGATCCCTGGTCTAGATAGTCATAGCCTCTCAGGCTCTCCAACTCTCCCAATTCCCCCCCCCCCTCGAATTGCGCCTATATATTGACAATTTGTCTTATCATTTTATTCTTTCATAACATGGTATATTCTTATTGTTTTGTATAGATTGTACTTTTTTTCTTCTCTAAATAAAAAATAAAGTAAAATAGTGCTTGAAATAGAATTTTCCTACAGACATTTTATTGGTTAGTGCAATCGTACCTTTGTGGGAGTATGGGACGTGGGTTATTAAGCTGTTCTAGCGTCATGCTCCCCTGCACATCATAATGGGGTGGATCTACTGGGTTTATGAGTTTATAAGGGAGAGGGGTGGCATTTACAGCCACCCACTGGCAGTTTTAAATCCAATTAACAATACATTAAAATTATACCTATACCTATATATAATTCTATATATACCTATACCTATATATAATTCTTTGAATTATTATAATATGATGTTTTTTATCATAATCTATGTAATCTTATATTAATCAAGCGTACAACGGGTTTGCGTGCAATGCACTCCAAAACTACTCAACCGATTTTGATAAGACTATGCTCAATGTGTGATTTGGTCCAACTTAAAATATAGGATACCTAGTTGTTATCTCGATTAGTTTCCCTTAATTCTTTTTATTGAACATTTAAGAAATGATTATGAGACTTAAGGTTGTAATTTTTGATTATAAATGATTGCTATTGCCTATTGGTTACATCTTACAGCATGATTATAATTAATTGCTATTGGTTACTGCTCACAGTATTATTATAATATTAATTGTTTTAAAAATTTAAAATTTAAATATTTAGGGCCGTTCTTACAATGTCCGGTAAAGTGTCGGTTAACGCTAACCGACTGATAACAGATTTTATTACCGGCAGAATTCTTCCGGTTAAGTGTCGGTTAACTTTAACCGGACGTCGTAAGAACGGCCCTTAATGAAATAAGTATTGATATAAAAGATTTTTTAAATTAATTTCTATAAGTATGTAGAGATGGTTTTTTTAACGGATAACGAAGCAATGGTTCCTCTAATGATCTAGATGTGCATTAAGAAAGAATTTTCCGATATTCGTATTTTAAAGAGGTGGTCAAGCCGGGATATTGAGATTTACAATGGAAATTGAAACTTTTTTTGTTTAAATAATGGTTGCCATTGGTTGCAGATTATAATTTAGTAGTACCTACCTACCTAGTATAAATTAGTGTTATTATTTTTTTATATATATTATAAATGGTTGCCATTGTTTATTTGGGTAAATCCGGTACAAGTATGCATCAAATCGTCGCGTTTAAAAGGCCTCGATTAAAGAAACCTTATCTTTAAACGAAATATATGTGTGTAGCTTATATTATTAGCTATATTTAAAAACTACTCAGTTGAATTTGATGAAAATCTGATTTTTGTTTCTAGAGATATCAGAAAAGTAGTTAGTGCTAAGTTAGTGCAAGTGCTAAGTCTAATCCGCAACTTGCGGTTGCCCATCTAGGTCGAATTATTTCACATAGCTATATAGGTTCATTGACTCCGATTTGTCCGTGGACTGTGAGGTACACTAAAACTGAGATACACTCATATCGATAAACACTTATACAGCGTATACAATATACATACCTACTATATAATATTATGATTTGCCACACAAACATAGTGCACACGGGTGAAGCCGGGATATTCAGCTATAGTAATATATCATTATATTTGTACAAAGATAAAATGTTTATTGTTTCTAATATAATATAATATAATATAATATGCTATACAAGTATACGCCTATATTTATCCAATATATAGATGATTGTATCAAATGTCGTATACGACTAACATACTAAAAAAAAAAACAGCAGGGTGCGGGGTTGAAGTCCCCAATAGCGTTGCTGTATCGGGAAAACCATTTTGTCGTTCCCCACCAATCCACACCCACGTATATATATATATATATATAAAATATATAAACCTAACCACGGACAGTCTCGAAAGTTTACAGACCCAAAAACCGATCGACAGCGATCATCGTTCGGTCGCCGCTGCGGTAGGGTTTCCGTCCGACCACTTGATGTTATACGCGTTCTCTTCCCCTCGTCGTACATCATACGCGAAGTGACGCGCTCGGTCGCCCGCCCAACCGCCCTCCAGTCATGCTACCGGCTGTACACACAACACACGGCCAATTGACCACCACGCGCGTGACGCGACGAGATTATAATAATAATATTGTTTATTATTTTGTTCGGTTGAAAGAAGTCACTCTGATCAAATTCGAAAACGACGGCCGTCGATGACGCCCACGTCATATTACGCTAGCGTGGCATCATGCGGACCATCTATTTGCTTAATATGTTATTACAATAAATATAATATAATAATAATGATACACACACAAACATAAGAGATACCTGTGTAATGATAATATTATGTTCGTGTCTGATAATAAAGGGGGTAAAAAAAAAAAAAAAAAAAAAAAAAATGAGAAATAAAAATAATAAAAAAACGGAAGAAACAGGTTAAACATGTCGGGAAATAATAATTACGCTATAGATAATAATTCACATTTCTCGGAACAGCTACTTTATGGTCGACTCGTTGTATTCGGCGTAAGTACGCAAGAATCTGCCGACTGCCATAATGTATTATGTACCTATAATATATATAATAATAATATTTAATGCACAATACCCCTTCTTCCGCCGCGCCGTAATAATATTTCTCTCGCTCCGTCTCTCTAAATCTATTTCTATCTCCGGCACATTATAACCACACGCAATACTCGATTTTCTACGTACATTTTATATTATTATTATTATTATTATTATATATTATATTATGTACGCACGTGCGTGTGTGCAGTGTGCCTATTCACGTCCCGTTAGAAAAAACGTAAACGCTAAACGTCGCATTTTTATTAGGATACTATATAATATTATGTGCACGAGTGGTGTACAGCACACACACACACACCCGTGCAACACTGCAACCCACATGCCTTCGTACAAAGCGTCCCACAGTGGGAAACGTTGCATTATTCGCGAGTTATATACTGCAACTAATCATC